TGGTTATATCTTTAATAGTTTCGTGTTTAATTGCCCCACCGTCGAAGTAGATTCTTCTGATAGTTTAGTTCATTTTTTTATTTTACTTTTTCATTTTTGATATGTTTATAAAATTTGTATTCGCTAACTATTACTGTTTAATAAAAATAAAAATAAAAAAAGAAACATTACAGCACGTGTCATTAGTTTGATAACAGTAATAGAATAAATCTACATAACAATAATACAAAACTAAACACCTAGAATATACTAAAAATTAATATATCCCTGATGAACCAGGATAACTAAACAAAAATAGAAATAAAAAGAAAAAAGAATCAACCCATATGGGCGAAAATAAAAGAAAATATTTAAGAAAAAATAAAATAAAAAAAAAGAAAAAATATTTGAATAGTATACTGATTAACACGAACTATAAAATCCAACGGTTCTATATTAAAGTATATATAATTCAAAAGCCCTTCTACATTTTGATAGACTTTATAATTAATACTTTTACTAACCATATTTTTATCATAACTATAATGTTTTTTATCTTCTTTAGTAACACCTAAACTTCTTTCTTTATCTTTTTGTAAATCACATCTATCAATCCAAATTTTATGTGTAGAGTCAAAAACGAAATCTAAAAATTTAACTCCAGTTTCGAATATATGAGCTTTAGTCATTTTTATTTCTTGTCGTAAGAAATCAGCTAACAGTTTTGGAAATAAACCTTTAATAATATCAACGAAAGTTAATTTATTATCATTAACTTTAACTTCGCCAAAAGATTCGTTTATAAATAAGTCAATTATTTTTGTTTCATCGAAAATATATAAATCGTATTCTTTAATTTTTTCAACTAAACATATTATCGAATAATATATAATATTTCGCATTCTTTTACGATTTGAATAACAACGCCAAACATGGCCAAAAGTTTCTTTCTTTCGCTCACAGACAGGACTAGAGCTCCGAACGGGTCAGGTCAACCCAGGTGACCCGACGGGTTAACCCGAAAAATTCAGGTCGGGTAGCAAATTTAATGACCTGACCTTGGGTCAGGTCAGTCACAAGTTGGATACCTGACCCGACCCGTTGACCTGATATATTTTGGGTCAATAAAAGACGTTTCAGTGTTTTTTATATATAAAAAATGCCAACCCATTTTTTTTGACCCGAATCTGACGTTTGTTCATAAAAATAATAATAATAAACGTCTTTTTTAATGAAAAATGCCGAACCTGACGTTATTTCACTAAATAAATCAAAAAAACGTTTTTTTAATGAAAAAATGCCGAAACTGACGTTATTTCATTAAATGAATGAAAAAAACGTTTTTTAATGAAAAAATGCCTAGAGTTCCGAATGGGTCAGGTCAGGTCAGGTTAATTGATAAACCTGACCTGAAATTTTTTTTCAGGTCAGGTCAAGTCAGGTTATATCAGGTTGTCTGTTTGACCTGACCTGACCTGAAACCTGAAAAATTTCAGGACTATTTTTATTAAAGTATTGAAAAAAAATGGTACAAAACTTTTTTTTTTAATATAATATTATGAAAAAAAACGTTTTTGCAATGTTTTTTATTAAAATATTGAAAAAAAATATTGCAAAACGTTTTTTTTTAATATAACATTATGAAAAAAATGTTTTCACAACGTTATTATTGAAATATCAAAAAAAAAATGTTACGAAACATTTTTTTAATATAATATTATGAAAAAACGTTTTCGCAACGTTTTTTCTCGAAATATTGCGATTCAACATTTTTATATTAAAATCATATAAAAAAGTGAATCCCAATACTGCAATTCACTTTTTT